CAGTATTCTGAATATCAACAAAGAGCAAGAACCCAGAATTTCGGTGGCCTTGGCTTTCAGCCGACCAAGAACCGGAGTATATAACAAGAGAATTAGAGAACAAAGAGCAATAACTTCAGTTTTTAGTAAAAAATTTCAACGATTCAAGTCTGTCCAAAAGGGGAATAGGGAGGGGTTTATAGAGTAGTGGAAATTGAAAGAACAAATATGGAAAACAATCAATTAAGCAAAAATAAGGAAATAGAATATCATATACAAATCGAAATCAGAAAGGGAGATGGAGAGACTCAAACCCTAATTGGGTTCAACCGTCTGAAACTCGAACCAAGAGTGTAAATCGCTCTATATTGAGCGTATATAGACGGAAAACCGCCTAAGATCAAAAGATCCAAGTCGTTCCAGTACGATCTCGGAAGTGATGCTTGCCAAATTTAGGCAAGAACCTAAGTAATACCATAAATGAACGATCATAGTGAGAGAAGATGAATAAGGTAAGTGAATCAATGATTGATTCAATTTTAGAGCGGGATTTGGAGAAGTTGAGAGATGTAGCGGCTAGGGTTCATAGAAGAAGAGAGGGGGATTCAAAGGCGGCTGGGACCAGAAAATGGTCTTTAGTGTTTTGGGTGGGGATATAAGGAGAAGTAAGGGAAATATTGTGAGTCATTGATCACTTTTGATCAACGGCTGGGATTTGAGTTAGGTCGGGTTTTGGACTGGGTTAGGAGTTAGGGGTGTTTGGTTTGGGCTAGGGTTATCGGGCCAAGGGTTTTGGGGTAATTGGGCTGAGGTCTGGGTAGTTTAGGTCCGAAAAATAGGTAAGAAATTAGGCTACTATTTAACTACCCCAAAATTTATTAAAAATTAATTTATAAAATGCTTAATAAATAAAATAAAATATTATTTATGCACTGAAATGTTTTAAAATAATAACTTTGTGTTATAAAAATATAAATATGTTATTTTGGCACAAAATAATATAAAATAAAGAGTAATTGTATGAATATAGGTCATTATTGCAAAATTAGACAAATAGCTTTAAAAATGATAATGTAATTATATGTAATGAAATAAAATGTTTGAAACATATATTATAGGTGCAATATAATTATTCTAGGTAGCTAAGTCATCACAAAATAATTTGAGGGGTAATTATTAGACATTTATATAATAAGAAATGTAAACGAATTTAATTTTGAGCTTTAAAAATTATGAAAAATTATAGAAAATGCTTGTATAGGTTTGTAAACTAAATAAGGATGCGAACATGCTATTTTGAGAGAGAGAGAGAGAGAGAGAGTGTGTGTGTACATATATATATATTGGAAAATATAAGGGCAAAATTGGGTATCAACAGCTGCCCCTCTTTACCCGGGAATGATGAAAGATTGTCGGGTAAAAAAAATGATGACCAATTTTGGCCGAATAGAATGAGGGATGATGCGATTTTAAAAATGGGGCCGAACCCTGGTTCCTGAGTTGCCTACATATCCCTGGTGTTACTGGAATCAGGTCATGCGTAGTTCTGGATCCAACGGTGAACGAAACCGGTGGAATTGTTGTAAGAACGGTTGTATGTTTCGGAAAATGTTCTTTTGGGTAGGACAATATCGGATGAATTTATGTGAAGTCATGAATGTGAATTTGAGATGTTATGGATATATCACAGGGCAAATATCTTAACAGTCATGGAGTAAAAGGTGAGCAATTACTGGTGGTCGATTACGCTTGGAATAGCTGCAGGATGTGAACGTTATGAACGGAAACCGGAGCGAAGATTGCTCCCGTTTGAAGAACGGTTACTTCCTGGATTACCTGCAAAACTTAAAACACAATGCATGCATATATATATGGATTACTACGAGAATTTAAACATGATGCAAATTCCTTTGGACCATGAAGGTTGTCTTTGGACGGTGAGGATGATGTCCTTTGACCATGATGTCCTGGGCTATGAATCGTGCGATAAGGGATTCGCAGGCCATGAAATGATGTCCTCGGGCCATGAGAATGGTGCCTCCGGATGACGATGCCATTGAATAATGATGTGCAATATTGAGAGATCCTCAGGCTATGGAATGATGTCTTTTCGCAATGAGGATGATGCCTTCGGACTATGACGCCTTTGGACAAAATGGCAATGTTTCAGCCCATGAAATGCAAAGATATGATGCTTAGTTATATGTAAAGCAAGTCAAAGCTTAGTTTTGTATTAGGCCAGTGCTTAGACCAGGCGAATAGAGGATAGTGCTAGGTCTTAAATAGCGCAATGGAGATAGTATTTAATCTTGAGGAAAAGGCAATGCTTAGCCTTATGCAATTTAGGAGGCGATGTTTAGCCTCATGCAGGAAGAGGAGGCAATGCTTAGTCTCGATGCAAGGAAAGGCAGTGCTTAGCCTTATGCAATTAGGGAGACAATGCTTAGCCTCATGCAGGAAAAGGAGACAATGCTTAGTCTCGATGCAAGGAAAGGCATTGCTTAGCCTTATGCAATTAGGGAGGCAATGCTTAGCCTCATGCTGGAAAATGAGATAATGCTTAGTCTCGATGCAAGAAAATGCACTGCTTAGCTTTATGCAATTAGGGAGGCAATGCTTAGCCTCATGCAGGAAAAGGAGACAATGCTTAGTCTCGATGCAAGGAAAGGCAGTGCTTAGACTTATGCAATTAGAGAAGCAATGCTTAGCCTCGTGTAGGAAAAAGAGATAATGCTTAGTCTCAATGCAAGGAAAGGCAGTGCTTAGCCTTATGCAATTAGGAAAGCAATACTTAGCCTCATGCAGGAAAAGGAGACAATGCTTAGTCTCGATGCAAGGAAAGGCAGTGCTTAGCCTTATGCAATTAGGGAGGCAATGATTAGCCTCATGCAAGGGATAGAGACAGATGGAAAAGTAAAGTATTTCTTAGCTGAGGATGTTCGTGCTTGATAATTTGTTGTCTTGAAGGCGGTGTCTTGATGTATCTGCGAATATCGTTGTCTTATTATTCCTGCATTCAAAGAAAAATTGTAAGTTCTGTAGGAGAAGGTTGGTTCATGCTTTTGTCTTCTGCTTTGCCTGTACTCCTGTCTTGAGATCTTGTTTGAATTACCCTGGGTAACATCTGGCTGCCATAAAAATAAAGTTTTCAAAAAATATGCATGCATTTCGTAAATATAGTTGTTTAAAATGTAGTAGTATGTGATATCAAGTAATTTAGATGAACCGATGACTGTGACATATTTTAGAGACATCGCAACCTCTTTGCTTTAGAATTTTGAGGGCCCTCCTCAAAATTCTGCCCTAGTTTGAAAGCGATTATTTGACTGTTCTTCGCATGACGAAATCTGCTGGACTTGCTTCAGAATTTTGAGGGTCCTCCTCAAAATTCTGCCCCAGTTTCTGACCATGGCAAAAATAAAGATTTTATTAAGATGTGACCGAACCCATAGGGTTGCCTACGTATCCCCTCTTAAAACGGAATCAGGTCAAGCGTAGTTCAGTTACATCAAGTGAAGAAATGTAAACAATCCTAAACTTAATACCTCTTGACTGCGTTTGAGTTGATAGGTTTTGGCCAAATTTCTCCGTCCATTTCTGCAAGTATGAGCGCTCCTCCTGTTAGTACTCGATGAACCATGTAAGGACCTTGCCAGTTGGGTGAAAACTTCCCTTTGGCTTCATCCTGATGTGGAAAGATTCGCTTCAGCACCAGATGCCCCAGTGTGAACTGTCTAGGTCTGACCCTTTTGTTGAAGCTTCTGTTCTGATAAAGTCGACCATGGCATACCACGTTCATTCTTTTCCCGTCAATGAGAGCCAATTGTTCATAGCGACTCCGTATCCATTCTGTATCACTGAGTTCAGCTTCTTGTATAATTCTTAAAGAAGGAATTCCTACTTCGGCGGGTATGACGGCTTCAATACCATAGACCAGCAAATAAGGAGTTTCCCTGGTTGATGTGCGAACTGTGGTACGATATCCCAATAAAGAAATGGTAATTTCTCGTGCCATTGCTTGTGATTGTCTACCATCTTTCTCAGTATTTTCTTGATGTTCTTGTTAGCGGCCTCCACAGCTCCATTCATTTGAGGCCGGTGTGTTGTAGGATTCTTATGCTTGATCCTGAAGGTTTCACACATAGATTTCATTAAGTCACTGTTGAGGTTGGCGGATTGTCGGTGATGATGGATTCTGGCACCCCAAATCGGCAAACAATACGATCTCTGATAAAATCTGCGACGACTTTCTTAGTTACAGCTTTGTAAGATGCAGCTTCAACCCGCTTTGTGAAGTAATCTATGGCCACTAGAATGAACCTATGCCCATTTGAAGTGGCGGGTTCGATCGGACCGATGACATCCATTCCCCAAGCGGAGAAAGGCCAATGTGCACTTGTTGCATTGAGTTCGTTTGGTGGCACTCGTATCATATCTGGATGTACTTAGCATTGATGACACTTTTGAACATATCTGATGCAATCAGTTTCCATAGTCATCCAAAAATATCCGCTCTTAATATCTTTTTGGCTAAAACAAAACCGTTCATGTGTGGTCCACAAGTCCCGGCATGTATCTCTTCGAGTAGTTTGGATGTTTCCTTAGCATCGACACACCGTAATAATCCTAGATCCGGAATCCTTCTGTACAGAATTCCTCCACTTTGGAAGAAGTGGTTGGATAAAGAATGCTTAAAAGAATTGAGTAAAGGCGAAAGCAGTGAAAGAATGATACATCTTGCCCCTTGCATCACTAAAGTGACATGAGTGTCAAATATAGGAGAAAGATGAAACCACTAATATGTGGAAAAAATGTGGAAATCACTAATGTCAATGCATCATGTACTATGCAATACAATGATTCATCACTTTATAATATCATCTTTCTTGATCCTGGTTGATCTAGGAAATTCTTGCAAAGTGAAATCCAACCAGAATCAAACAACTCACCTCTGGAATTGAAAATAAGTAGAATAAAACAATTGTAAAAACCAAACAAATTAATCGGTGATCTCCATAAAAAGCTTATAATTTTGTTATCTTTTAATAGGTAAAAAAGTTAATTTCTCATCCTTCATTGAACATTATCTGAAAGTACGCATTCTTTTACGATTGGAAAATTCAGATAATTGATTACAACAATTCCTTTCAAAAAAAAAATAATAATAATTTCAACAATTACAGTTCTGAGATGCCAAGACAACTTGGATTTGATGTGGAAACCCGACAAGTGAATACACCTGCTTGGGGCATTAAGCAAATATTATGGCCAAAATAAAAGGAATACGAACCAACCAGTACATTAAAACATCAAACCAGAGTTTTATCATACCTAGTAAACTATGATTTTCACTTTGAAATGCAACAAACAATTGCCGATATGCATCAAGGAGCTAAATGCCATCTTCTGTCCATAAAATAACTGATGACTAAGGTTCTTGCTTTGACCTGCATTGAGAGGCATCATGTCCAGGTTAACATCAAAATAAAGAACCATAAAAAAGTTGTGAGTATGAAAGATGGGGGAAAATAAATCCTTACTGCAGTTGGATTTTCTTCTCAGTCAGCATGCTCCCGGAAACGGATGATATTGTTGATAAAGCTCCTCTCCCGACGATAGCTGAAGATTAAGATAGATAAGACACAAATACACACGTCAAGCTTTTCAGAATACAATTTAGTTATAGGACTTCCAAATTATAGCTGTTAAGTTTTGATGTTCTGTCTTTGAGCCTAGTCTCCTACAATTCTAGTCCACAGAGTGCATTGGACAACAAAAATGTTAGCTCTGCAAAGGTCATCTTCATAAGCTCCCTACAAACTTACATGATAAAGGCTGCTAGCATGAAACTGGTGATTCCCACTAAGAAGTGACCGCTAAACGTTTTCCAGAAGTCATCCCGATCCAGAAATATCTTTTCTGAAATTAGAGTGACTACTCCAGAAAGAAGCAGAAACGTCCAACCAGAGGGCAGGCAGCTACCGAAGGAAAATGAGGATGAACCCTGAGAAAAAAATCCAAAGAACAGTAAAGCATCGGGAAAATTATTGGTTTTGATGATATAAAGCAAAATAATTTCACAAGCTTAGCAAATACCTGGAAATAGTTCCTGATGAATACTGCTGAGTAAGTGATCCTTAAAGCCATATCTTTCAAAAAGTCAAGGAACTAGCGGCTACAAGTTTTAGATATGCTTAAGGACAACTTGGTTCACACAGTTCCAAAGATCTAGTGAACCACTCATACACTTCCAACCTATGTTGCGTGGACTCTCCAAAATGTAGCCGCACCCGTGTCGGATCCTTAAAAAAATGCACTACTTTTGGAGGATCCGACATGTATCCAGCCACATTTTTGGAGAGTCCGAGCAACATAGCTTCCAACTCTGGACACAGATGACTACAAGTGCTTGTTGCCTTTCATATTTAGCAGATAGCCGTTTCAGTTTTAGCAGCCAGCAACAACAATAATGTTATAGATGCTTGCACTACTGCTGTAACTTTGCTACTAACTGCAAAATCTCAATAGCAATCATCAGTTAAACACTTATCTTCTCATGCAATATGGCTTCCAGACTATCATCACCAAAGTGAAAACCAAGCTCTATTTGGCCTAGTTCTTCTACAGTTCTACGCATTACAAGTGTTATAGTTCATTAATCTGGAAATGATAGATTATGAAATTGCAACGTGAAAGATGCTGACAAATGAGATTCACCATCCCCAACAACCTAATCAAAACACACCACCAAACTATAAGACCTTGCCTTATTTCTGAACCAAGAACTGCAGTGCTAACACTGATCATTAATTTTCTTTTTTTAAATAAAGAAGCAAACAGTGTTGAAATTCCAGGAAAAGAAGAAATCTAATACTTTAATGCATCATGAAAGGATACTCAAAGAATTTGCTAAAATCAACCCAATTGCACCAGCTGAACGTATAAGAGAAACATTCAACACCAAGTAAATCAATGAGAACACAAGCAAGGAATCATTTGAGCGCTTGAGTTGAATCTCATCTGCGACCGCATGCAAAAATGCTTCAGATGTTCCTGCACCAAAGACAAAGAAAAACTTGACAATTTCATAATAGTATCTGTAGATCTTAAGGCTGGTAAAGCTAAAGAAAACTTTAGTTGGTCAGGGAAAATTCAAGAAATCATCATCACAAGCTGAAAGCAAATACAGAGCAAATCAGTGGTACAATTTTTTGGGCACATCATTGCAATTAATAATGCAGGTTGCAAATCAAGAAGAGAACACACTTGATTGTAGATCTCAGCAACTTGAAACAGAATATATAAGTTTCATAAATGATCAAATTAATAAAATCAAATTTGTACGACAAAATGAGCTAAAACCTCCAATAATAATTTATAAAGGCAGTGGGGGTAACGACGTTGCATTAGCATAGCACATAGCTGCAATATAATGCACTATAAGGATTTCTAGGTAGTTTCTGGAATGTCAAGGATTTAAAATCCATGAATTGAAAAGATTAGGGATATTGTGATCTTTCGTTTCTGATCATACAGGTATTTGCTGCATTTTAGTTGGAACGTCCTGGTTATCCTCCATGAGCAAGAAGACAGTGCCCTGTCCTAATAGGGACAAAAGCACAAAATATGGCATATTCCAACAGATGCCAAATCCATCTCCGACGAGATGACTGGCTGGATTAGGCATGGGTTTATGAAGCTAGCCACTTATAAGGATCCAAAAAATGCAAACCCTTGAACTTAAAGCATTACTAAGAGGATAGGTCATAATTCAGGCTGAGCAGATCAACAATCACCAAGTTCTTGAAATCTCCATGCACCATATAAGAAAGGTGTCCATCAAATGGCATTTGAACATGTTAAGAAATAATTATAAAAATCAAAAAGTCTTTATTAAAAAAACCTAAAATGTTCCCTCTCTAACATTATAAGCTTTTAGATGAGGTGATTCACACAATTTCACAAGGAATCACTCAATTTCACAAGGAATCACTGAGTTAGAGTCTCACCACCATCCATTAATAAAAAATAATAATCACTTGCTTGGTCTGATAAAAAAAAATATCGGGCTAGCACCCGAGAAGGAGTGCTAAGACATAGTTAAATAAATAAAAGTGTACACTGTCTAACAATTACTTTCACACAATTTAATAAGACGAAGAAACTTGCCAATAGTTTCATCTCTACCAAAACGGTCAAATAAAAGTCACCAATTTCAAAAGCATGCTTCAAGGTTGTATCACTTAAACAATAACAACAACAACTACCCAGTAAAATCCCACATAGTGGGGTCTGGGGAGGGTAACGTGTACGCAGACCTTACCCCTGCCCCGATAGGGCAGAGAGGCTGTTTCCGATAGACCCTCGGCTCAGAAAGACGGAAATAAAAAACAAGAAAAGAGAATTCATTAGTAACTCCAGTAGAAACCGTTATAGTAACAGAAGCATGAAAACCAAAGGATGAATGACATGCAATAACAGTAACCATAGTCTAAGGCATCTAAGATAAACAGCAAGAATAGTGTGGGTTCAACATAAACTGCAAGCCATCTAAAGTCAACCATAATCCAACCCCGCCTCACCCCGGTATGAAGTAAGGAAAGCTCTACTACCCCTATCCTACAACCCTAATGCTTGACCTCCAGGCCTTCCTATAAAGGGCCATGTCCTCGGAAATCTGCAGTCATACCATGCCCTGCCTGATCACCTCTCCCCAATACTTCTTAGGTCTCCCTCTACCTCTTCTCGTACCCACCACGGCCAACCGCTCACACCTCCTCACCGGTGCATCAAGACTTCTCCTCTGCACGTGCCCGAACCATCTGAGCCTCGCTTCCCGCATCTTGTCATCCACAGGGGCGATGCCCACCTTCTTCCGAATATCTTCATTCCTAATCTTGTCTATCCTAGTGTGCCCGTACATCCACCTCAGCATCCGCATATCACTTAAACAATAATGAACAACAAAAACAACTGGTTTATATACTTGGCCCGATTCCAGTTAAGAGCTTCAGTTGTGCTTTGCCAAAATTTATCAGAAAGCTCAAGAACTGCCTCACTCGCAGAAATTTCAAACATGAACAGTACTCTTGTCTAAGAAACTTTTGCCATGGAGGCTGCAGCAGTACAGTTAATTACAAAATCAAACACATTAAATGATTTAAATAGAAGTCAAAGTTGGGAAATGCAATCCTATTTATTTTCATATATATATACAGCGCTGTCTCCACATCATTATTTACTAATTTGAAGTTTCAGCGGACCTGCTTAATTATCATCATGAACTGCTTCTTGCTTCATAAAAAAGATCCTACTACAACTACTACAATTACACCTCGGTCCCAAACAAGTAGGGATCGGTTATATGAATCTCATTTACCACATTACTCCATTTAAAGTCATCTCATGCCAACTTCATAAATTACTCCTGTTACTAAAAGTAGTTTGCTTGCAAATTTTTCGACATTCTTCAGCCTTATTTACTGAGAGCTATAGCCTGATTAGGTGCCAAGTATCACATTTGAGCATATGGAAGTAAATCAGCTCCAATTCATGCGTTGTGGCCCGATTATAAATATACGGGAACCACAGAAGCACCAATAGATATGGGCTGCCTAAAATTTGAAATCAGCAGAGTTAAAAAGAAGCCAAAAGCCCACAATATTTCATGATTAAAAGCATTTCATTTTAAGTCGCAACATCAGGATATGGGAGGACAAACTAGAAAACCTATAGTAAATCATGAAGGTAACTAATTAAATTAAATCTTAAGCACCCAAAATATTTAATGAAAAGGAAGATAGAAATAGGAATGGTTCTGGACCTTCCAAAAATATTTGACAGTTGTTGAGGGGGTCCCTCAATTTTCAGTATTACAGAAAGGTTTCAGCGTGGAATTTCTTTTGCACTCAATTAGCCTTACTCAAAAAAAATGGAGAGAAGGTCCTTTGAGTCTAGATCATGGTCGTAGTGAAATTATCTCATGATACTACAAATGAGCCATACCAAAAACAAAGGAGAACCTACTCAAGCTGTCAGTGTTTCCTTTTCTGTCAAAAACCTTAAATAGACTCTAATTGGTTTTAGTTATTATATGGGAAATCACTGTTAGAAATAATAACTGCATAAGATTTTCATGGAAGTCATTATTTTCTACTTAATTATTCAATAACCGCTTAGTTCAGATATTAGAATCAATTTCTATTATGAAAACCAAACACGACCTTACCATTCATAGCCAAAAGAATCACGTAGAGGCAATAGTATCGTAGAGCTGTTGAAGCTTCTCCATCACTCCACTTGCGACCATACAGCAATCTGATGAGAGAGTAGGAATAGCTAGGGCCAAAGGCCATGACCACCAAACCTACAATACAAGCAGTTTTGAAAATGAAGATAAGCTATTTGGAGTCTAATTCGTTTTAGAAAGCCTAAGAACCAAAATGAAATAAAAGTTTACCAAGTTTTTCCGTGTAAATAAGTACAAGCAGTAGGTGAGACATATCGTGTGTCAATTTATTGTTCGAAGCATATTTATGAAAAAGAAAAGAATTAGTTTGAAGCATATGGTAATGATGCTGATAAACCAAGCAAAATGCCTGAGCAAGAGCAAGTAAAGAGAACATATTCTGGAAGCTTCCTATTTCAGTGGCAGCCAGAAAGCAGTCTACTATACATTTTAGAGTCTCGGTTAAGTCATAACATCCCAAATGCTCAGTGATGTACATCGGCCTCTATCTTTTGAGGCTTTCAAGTGTTCTTTTTCTCTTAGGTCGATTGTGAATTTGTCACCACAATAGTCACATGCCCGAAAGTAGATGTTTTAATTCAGGTTCTTTTTAGTTTCAAGATTCAGTAGTCCATTCCACTCACGAGAAAGGCCCCTTCTGCAATAAAGATTCACAAAGCAGATGATTGAGTTTCGAAACCTAAAGAGTGGCGGAGAGAGCTTTTTTATCTGGCTAATGCAGAAAGAGTTTTATGTTTCAAATTATCATAATGGCACCAACAACGTGCTAATTTAACTTTACAAAAGATTTCATCTTTAGAGCTCCCAAAAAAATTCATTAAAGTGTTTAAGTAACTTAAACTTTTCTGTTTGCATAAAAAAATGTTTAAATAACAATGCTTTACTCTGTATAGCTTGTCCTTCAAACACCTCGTATTTCTCTTTCCAGATAACCCATACGATGCAAGGAGAAACGTCCCACATTTTTCTGCCACATTATACAGGATGGTATAAAGAGTAATTAATAATGACAGAGAGGATCCTTACACTTATTTCGAAGCAGTACTCATATTCGAAAGACTAGGTTGAAAATCTGTAAGAAAATACATTGCTACCTATGAATGTGAATGACATACCGTATAAGTTGTCAGAAGGTCAATGACTAGCACCCAGAATGTTTAACAGTAGAATCATTTCAAAAAAGCATGACATCATTTGTACGCTGATGTCGATAATTTGTAAAGCTGGATTTGAGAATTTTTGTCAATGTTTGCTAAGATAACAGGTCCGGAAAAATTAAGACTTGGCTAAAACTACTCAAGATGCTGAACATTGTCCATCACCTTTTTTACTCATATGGTAACAAGCTTCTAAATTCATGAGCCAGTAAGATAAGTAAAGCTAGGTAACCACGAGTCCAGCTCTATAGCTACAATGATTACCAAAACAGATGCAATAAACAAACAAATAAATAAGTTAAAAACAAAGGGCAGCCCGGTGCACTAAGCTCCCGCTATGTGCGGGGTCCGGCGAATGGCCGGACCCCACAAGGGTCTATTGTACAAATAAATAAGTAAATAAATAAACAAATAAATTAGAGCAAGTTATGAAAGATGTCATAGTTACCTATTAGTAAAACAAGTTTCAAAGCCTCAGATAAACTTTTTCCCAGTTTCTTTTGCTTCTGTGTGTGTTCACCTGTCAAATTAGTGAAACAGCTGAGGCATCAGCAAATTGCCACTTCCAATTGAATGAACAGAAGAAAGATAGTCAGCATTAAGTTAAAATTTTGGTTTATAGCTTAGTGGTGGCTAGAAATACCAATAATGCAATATCAGAGCCAAGGTTAAGTAAACGCTAGCAAGTTCAGAGATGAAGCTGTAATTCATGACTTAAATATAGCCGTTCATTGTGTTTTGGTGCACTAAACCAGAATTCTTGAAGAATACAGCATCAATTTCTGGCATCAAGTCAAAGAAGCTTTTTAAGGAAACCAAAATGGCCTAGAAACTGAGATCCTGGAAGAGGTTAAGTCCGACAAGTGCACAGTACACATTCATGCTATAAGATAACCGGGTTCATGGAAGTAATGAACCAAGCAAAATTCTCTTAAAGAAATAAATACATCAAGTAGCATCAGAAAAAAAGGCAAAAGCAATAGTTCATGTAGGTTGTTATAGGTTAAAGAAAAAGATAAGCTCAATTATCTATTTCGTAGCTTCTGTGCAAAATCCTGAAAAGGCAAACCAGAAATATAACACATGCCAATAACTAGTAAAAACCAGTATAACCTTTGGTTCAAAAGTATTTCTTAATAGGCGCGGCATCACTTGAGGAACCACTATTCTATCTGTGTCTTGTCTCTCAATAAGACATGAAAAACTTCAATTTTAACCAGTCAGTAAATCATGTTAAGAACAGGATCTGTAGGGCGAAAAGAGGTAGGTAGAAGGATGATCATTTGTCATTTCCCTGTTTGGTAAGTAAGTAAAAATGGTTCATCCAACCTCCCAAATCTAGACTGAAAAGGAGGAAGTCTGATATCTTTTACTTCCCTTATAGTTGTGTGTCACAATATATGAACAATAATCCAACTAAGGAAGTAACTTGATGAATTTCACTCTTCTTGCCCTTCCACTCCCTCTTTGAACCCAAATTGGCATTACTCACCGCCATAACAACTAAGCAAGATTTAGAAGAACATGCAAATTGAAAGAAAAAAATATTAGGTGAAGTCCTATAACCAACAAGAGTCCTATAAGTGGAAGGCGAGATAAACCTGATGCAGACCTTGCAAATGTAGCATATGAACTTTCTTCAAATGGAAGAAACACCAGCCTAACCACTAAGCTGCCTGAAAATCAAGTATATGTTTGTATCTGGTAGAAAATATGACCTGTTTAAGCAATATGCTGCTTTGTTAATAAAGCATACCTAGTTTGTCTACAAGCCCATATACTGCTTGGTTATATGGTGTGTCCAACCACACAAGAACCATCTTTTCTCCTTCTTGAAGAAGCAACTTTCGGAAAGACTGAAAGGTAAACAACATACACATTTTTGAAAGTTGCTCATCAATGCCTCCGTTTCCTACACTAGAAAGGCATTGACTGTCAAATAAATTAAATTCCAATCACAAGAAGAAAAGAACTGTCAATATAAGAGAAGAGGGCAGAGAGATATTGTGAACAAAGTTGAACAATTGATAGAAAACCAAAGACAGGCTTCCATTCATTCCTTTGCATTTCTTGTAGCCAAGTCCCCAGACACCCCCACTTCCAAAAGAAAGAAAAAGCTCCATCATCATAAAAGGTTGACTTGTTTTCTTTAGGACCAATACTGATGCATTACGTGAATCTATTACAATCTCTCTCTCTCTCTCTCTCTCTCCCTCTCCCTCTTGCTCTCGATGTTCTTGTGCTTTGTATGTAAATCTGCTATGCACCAGCTTGGGACTTACTTTACATATCACTTATCAAAGAAAATATGAAACGTATAACATGCATGTGAAACAACAGAGGATGAGTAAACATTAGAATTCTTACCCAAAAGGAAAGAGATCAGAACTGCTATACATGTGAAAAAGAAGAAAGTAGCCCCAGTAGCCAAAGAACACACACGCTCCAAATGCGACTTGCGACAAGGCAAATACAATTGCTTTCTCCTGAAAGTAAGAAATCCTAATCTTAAATTTTTGTATCTTGCTTTCTCCCGAAGGTTTGAAATTTTAATTTTCAATGTTTGTCACCATAACTAAACTGAATTAAGTTCTGGCGTCCCTGCAAGTAAACAACTCATGCAAGGACATGGAACAGTTATGCGCAGAGTTTTATGAAAAATCATCAGATTAAATAAGACGAGGGACTACAGAAGATAAAACTCATTCATCCACAGAAATGGTGGACCAGAATACTTCTATATCAAAGTTTAAGGACGACACTATTCAGTCAGGCAGCAAATACATGCCCGCAGATGTACCAACAAAAAGAAATCATATCTTTCAAATTTCAATTATCAAAGGAAGAATACGTAATATAAGGCATGATGGGGGTACATTACTGAAAGCCACCAAATATTTACTGTACTGGAAGCTCCTAGTGATTGAAATTAACAGAAGCACACGGAGATGCAATTAAGTACAAAAGTAGGGTCCTTTTCTAATAAAGTCCATCAGAGATTTACATCACTAACATGTTTAAGATTACACCAAAAACTAGATTAACTAAACTTTAGTCTTCAAACTATGCAGACGTGTGGAGACTCCTTCAAAATATTGTTTCTGCACACTTCCAGTGGTCAAATTGGTGCTTCATCAAAGCCACTTTTTAGGACTAAACTTCATAAATTAAGGCAATATAATTACTATTCATAATATAATTCAATCCTCCAGAGGTATATTATGCCATTGAGCAACAATTCCATCTTTGCATAAATAATTTAAGGCAGTAATTCTTGTCATAAATGAACACGATTGACTAACAGTAAACTCACTTAAACTGTAAGTAAAGATAAAATTTAAATCTGAAAACTACGAAAGATAAATAATGAAGATGATCAATAGTTGTTTACCATGCCAGGTAGCTTTACAATGAGCATGTAGGTAGCTATACAACGTGAAAGGGTAGCTGCACTTTCAACTATCAAACGCAACTTAAGGAGAAGCAAATTCTGAGATAAGATGTAAAAGGGTTCGGCTAGTAGCTCCAATATACATGCAAAACCTGCTCGATGGAAATAAAATTTCCAAAAAAAATGAAAAAAGTCAGACGAGAATTTTTCCAGAAAATTCACAAAATCAACTTCAGGGACAGTCCAATACATGATACATTCAAGTCTGGAACATCCAACCAGATGTAAGTAGGGGAAAAAACGGTTCTAAGCAGGTCAGGATTATATTAAACTCACATTGAAGCCAAAGACATACAGCACATGAATAACAATTTCAGAAGGGCATACATACAAACCCTCACAAGTAACAGTTGAAAAGCCGAAAACAGAAGCAACCATGGAAACATAGTTCTTTTTTTTTTTTTTTTTGAAAAGTAACAATGGAAAGCTTAGTTTTCCTGGCTCACATTGATAGCCAGGCACACAGCACAATGCTTTAAAAGACTGTATATCAAAGTTTAAGCTCACCATTTATCCATATAGCCTGTGCATATTGAGTAGAATAACTTAGTTCTTGCCACCATAAAACAAAAAGGCATCCTACAAATGTGACAATTATTCCCATAGGGAGGGTCATCCATGCTACTTTCAACAGTTTTGCTGCATTTTCTCTCAGTGATCCGCCACTGCAATTTAAAGACAGTTACTTCCATAAACTTGAAAAGCAGATCCATATGTATGTATGTATGCATATATATGTGTATGTGTATATATGTATATTTATTTATTTATTTATTTCTAATGGAAGTCTCAAAGAAGAAACAGAATGCCAGAAACAAAAGATAAAAGAACCCTCATGTACTCATCTTGCCGGAACTACACAATGTCGAACCAGATAGACTACACCCTCTATTTGCTTAACGTAGGGGTCTGTTAGCTAATTGAAGTTTGTATTAGGAGTGCCATCTAAATGGTCAAACATCTGAAACTTGGTTTCCTAAAATGTTGTATCCTCTTGCCCTGCCTCATCTCACATATTTAATCTTAGAATTCAAAAACTTAGCCACCTATTAGCTCTCGTCTTTGTCAAAGACCTCTAAAAAGTTTCACATGCTTATCCACATTATCACAAAAAATAGAAATCCTTCTCTAGAAAGGACTTTTACATTGTTTATGTCAATGCTGAGAAAAAACAACAGGAAAATGTAAAAGCAAGTGGATGATTTTTAAGGCTTTTTGAGCTCTTTGCAACTTAAATGGAAATCTTTGGCAATACACCTACCTGGTGCTTGTATAGTACAAAATAAAGTAATGATTTTTTAAAGAAGTAATAATCTGGAGATCAGTTTCACTCCTATTCCAATTGTTAAATAACAAGCATAATTAGGTATAATGTGGATCACATAAAACAGATTTTCAAAATCTCACAGCAAAAGTATAAAAGAACATTTTATTGACTATGACCATAACAGCTTGACACAAAATATATGCTTACTACACGAGATGAGTACTGAACTCTTTAATTTCAATATAAAGAGAGAGAAAGAGTTGCAACAGGCTTCCATTGATTTGATAATTTTATTTATTGAAACTAAAAGAAATTCTGAAATGAAATACAAAGAACAAAACTAAAAGAAGCATGAAAGAGAACATCCAATAGTACCAATAAATGTCGGCCCTCATGCATGCTCGCCTGAAGCCCTCTCGACTAAGAAAAAGCACACAAGTAATGAACAAGTGAAATTGTACAGCATACAACTGCATGATGCACAAAGAAGTGTTAGACATTTCCTGTACATAAAACCAAGAGTCAGGTTGAAAAGTACAATAAAACATACGAGTTAATTGATAACATGTTGAACTCACATCACCACAAACATCAATCAAAATTATGGTGAATCGATATGGTACATGTCAACATAGATGCTGTATTGTCTAGTTCACAACCAGTCAGCCACAAAAGTTTATACAAGAAAAAGAAAAGAAAAACAACTTAAAGCTTATAGCAAGAATAAGTGAGAGAGTTCTTCTCATTCTTTAATCCACCTAATTTAGTTGACTTCTCCCTATGCTCATCTTTCCATCATTCCATGGAGAGGCTGCCATCTTTTGTAATTCAAATTAAAATCAACCTAGTAGCACCAATACCTAAATAAAGTTAGTAAGGAACCTCTCCAGAAAACTATTACATATTTCAACTACTATTTCATAACATACCCGAAATACTAACTCTAATAGAATCACCAATTCATACTTTCTTTTGTTCAAGTTTGATTACCTGTTCGGGCTCACAAACTTCTATTCAATATAATATAACATGAAATACCAAGAAACGAATAACAATTTCCCTTTTCTAACTTTTACCAATAGTAATCTTTCCAAATGTTGTATTCTCCCCCCAAGAAGAGTACAAAGTAAGAAGAAACAACTGCAAACCAACTTATTAACAAAATTGCACCGACAAATACATTGACATATACATGAAACAACAAAAACAACAATGCTTCAATCCCTAACTAGTTGGTGTCGCTGATACGAATCTTCAAATATTCATATTTTTAAAAGGAGATGCCGGGGCCAGCTTGAGGGCACCTGAACTATTCCATTTGGTACCTGCAATCTCCCACCACCTATCAACACAGGTACCAAGTAACTCTGCCTACCAAGTGTTAGGCAGAAGAGAAGAAATCACTTAGCAGTTTTGTGTCCGCCAGATTTGAATTCTCGTCTCCAAGGACCAAGGTTCAAATTTGCGCTTTTATATATAGTCATATACATAAAACAACAAAAACCACAAAGCTTCAATCACGAACTAGTTGGGCTCGCGTATAAGAATCCTCCATATTCATTTTTTATAAAGGTGGTGTCTGGCTAGCTTGAGTACACCTAGACTATTCCATTGGATGAGAATAATCACATAGCATTTGTCATCTATCAAGGACCAATGCGTGCCACTTCATCGACTGATATGCCACACCCTTGGATGTTGAATCCTCTAAATTACTGCTACTTTATATTTCCAGCAAAAAAAAAATTATTTTATTTGGGCTCATTCATTCCAATACTTGCTAAATTGCCTTTTAAATTTGCAAAACACCTTCAAATTGGATCACATACTCTACCATAAAAAAAGTTAAAAAAAGAAGTAGACGGATACGATATAGTACAATGATTAAAATAGAATAATACCGCATAGTCTTCTTCAGTGAGGTGCCGAACGATCCAAGAGTTGAATATGAATGGTATTCCCCTTGATAAAAATTGAGTTGCTATAAATATGAACACATTACTGAACAAACAATGCTAAAAAAAATATGAAAATTGAATAAATATAAGGTGAGAAGGAAAATTACTGACCTAGCAAGTACTTAAATGTGTGAGATAAATTCACCGAGCGGTCTCCATTTTCAGTTGATTGAGAAGAAGATTTTGACATTGCCTTCGCTATGTGTCGAAAAATGCAATTTGGTTTGTCGAACGGCTCGACGTGACATAAATAGAGCCCGTTTGGCTTAGCCAATTTAGAATAGTGGGTAAGCATTGCTGAAAAACACTTTTTAAGTGATGAAGCTGATTTAAAAAATAAGCAGTTACGTGTAGTGCTAAATTAATAATAAGCAGCTCAAGGTATACGAACAGTTTTCTTTTAAAAAGAAGTATTTTAGGGATAGAATAGTAAATATTTTGGTCAAACCTAAAGTGCTTATAAGCTGAAATTTGATAAGTTGGGAGAGATCTAACTTATGACTTTTGGCTTATATTTGGCTTATAAGCACTTTTAATTTTACCAAACGCGTAGATAAGCCAAAAAGTGCGTATAAGCTAGTTTGACCAGCTTATAAGCTTAGCCAAACACCCTCCTAATACTCATTATAATCCTATTTACAACAATTCTCAACTCCGTTCTAAAAGTCGATAAAATCACCCTCGGGCCCCGTGCCCAGATTCCGCAAGTTTTCGAAGATAAAGTTTACCCATAACCTCACGAACTCAAATATATAACTTATTCCAAATTCCATGTCCAATTTCGTGGTAAAAATCCAAAAATACCAAATTTTAGATTTTCTACCAAAACCCCACAATTTCGACTAATTTTCATGTTTAAATCCTTATATAAACCATGTATTTAAGTTATAACAAGTGGGAACAACTTACCTTGTGATGCTTGAAGAAAATCTCCCCTTGAAGCTTTACAAAATCGCCCAAACCACTACCAGAAAAAAGGCCTATGGCAACAGTTACTTTAGCAACGGTTGAACAACCGTTGCCATAGAACAGCTATGGTAACGGTTACAACCGTTACAATAGCATTTAGGTGATATCAGCACACTTAAGCTATACAACCGTTGCAATTGTAAAACAACCGTTGCCATAGATTAATTTGGCGCAACGATAAACCATCCCAATAAATTTATCTACTGGAACGCTTTTATTGTAAAAAATTCTATTGGAACGGTTATTTTTTCCCTCCTTATTTTCCCCCTAAATTTTGTTAAACCCGCCAAAATAACCCCTATTTATTTTATTTTTGAATAATTTTAATAATGAATATTATGTAAAAAGACCGTTTTTGCTCTTTCCCTATTAAAATTGCGATACATCCAAAGCTATAGCTAATACCCCCAAATTAAGAACCCTCAGACTTCTTCGAACCCTCAGAGACAAGTTCTTCGATTGCAAATGCCTCTATCTCCAAAAATCTTCCTCTCTATCGTATTCCTCTCTTGCACTCTTTGAACTTGGTTTAATCGGTTTTTACACAGAAGTTTTGTTGATTTAGTGGGTGTGGCGAAATTTTGGGTATCGTGAAGGGGGTGGCGAAAGTTTGAGGCATCTGAGCAAATTTCCTCAAAATAGGTGCTCTCTCCAAATCCCTAAATCCAACAGCAGTGATTTTAGCCATGTAAGTTATTTTGATGCCTTTTTTTAACTCTTCAATCTATCCATGGAGGTTGTCGAATTGCTCTAGGGCTGGTGTATTTATATTTATATCGATTGCTGTAGGATTGCTCTAGGGCTGTGAATCTGAATTTTTTCTTGTTTTTTTATTTTTTTTTTTAAATTTTGTGGTGTCAAACCAGTTATTTTTTGGTGAAACAGTGTTTGCTCTCCTTTAATGATTGGTTTAATGAAGAAATGGTAATATAATGGTATAGGGAAGGAAATCAATCCCTGTATAAAAGCTACAAAAATTTCTCGCAGATTTTCCGATGAGTTCTCAGAATCATAGCTGATTAGCTTTTTTGCAGTTAGATCAAATATCATCTGTAGAAACACCAAGAGATTAGCTGATTGAAATTGAGAACGTTTTAGCATATTACCCAAGGGGAAAGTTTGGATAACTTACATTAGCAGTTGCTTCCTTCATCTCTACACTTGTCTGACAGTGAATGTATCCGGATACCAGCTCTGAAACAACTGTCCCTCTTGCTGAAAGATGAAACAATTTAGGTCGGGGTCTGTAGATACTATAACAGGACGTCCCACCATGCTAGTTCGAAAAATCGGCCCATACCTGAAAGAATTGCCAAAGACTTGTTTATTAGGATCGTAAAATGAAGTCTGGTAATGTCAGTTTGTATTATTATTACTATATAATAAAACCAAAAAAAGTGGATTGCAGCAACCACCTTTGCATCCTGTCCTTCACAAAGGGGGCAATATCTGATGATGTATTGGGGGCAAAGAACTGAATGGTCTCACCAAGTAATGGACAGCCCATTGAACCTGGTGGGAGTTTTCCATTGTATTTGGGATTCCTCCAGTTGTAAACCTAATGTCTAATGATTATAAGAAGATAAGCTCCAATGCAAATACCCACTGATATCTTCTTAGTTAATATGTATTATCTGCCTCTCTGTATCTATAGATGAGAGGAAGAGAAGTTTGAGATCTTCTGAAAGTAAGAACTGTAAAGGGAGGCAGCAGGGTTATTAAAAGCGAGCGCTTCTCGCTAAAAGCGCTGAAGCGAGGCGAGGCGCAAGGTTTGCGCTTTTCTGACCTAAAGCGAGGCATTTGAAAAAAAGCGAGCGCTTCAAGCAAAAAAGCGAGAAACGAGGCGAGTAAAAAAAGCAAGAAAAGCTCGCTTAAGCGAGGTCCAGCGGATGCCTAGGGTTTTTTCTAAAAAAATTTGCAAATACACTTATGCACCTTTCTTCGAAAACATTTCTCGCTACTGCTGAAAGCCAAAACATCCTGCAACATCTCTTCTTCAGTTCTTCTCTTATTCTCTCAAGGTAAGTTTCTCTTCTCTTCTTCTCTTCTGTTTTTTTCTGGTTTACCTCCTTCTTCTCGACTCCTTTCGTCTTCTCTTTCTCTTCTTCTTTTCTATTTTTTTTTTCAGTTCTTCTTTTCTCTGTTCTGCCCTGTTTTCTATGTTATGCTACTGCCCTATTTGTTTTTAAAAAGGCTGCCCAAAGAGAAGGAAATATATTAGTTTATTATCAATAAAATGGTAAGTGGGAGAGTAATGGTAGGAGATGTTATGAGAAGAAGATTAGTAGAATGAGAAGAAACTGCTGTCATGTACTCCATATCCACGAGGAGGAGTTCTTAAATAGGCAGGCTAGAATTGATTCTATTATTTGTGTTCTTAAGAAGATTAGTAGAATGAGAAGAAACTGCTGTCATTGTTACTCAATTGATTCTATTATTTGTGTTCAAATACTTCTTGGCTCTCATGTGTTATATCTAATTTTGAACAGAGGAAAGCGGATCAAGAATCAGGAAGGGCGCTCAAGTAAAAATAAAAAATTAACAAAATGCATAGCAGCTGGATCGCTTGCATCTTTGCGAAACCTAAAGGTTTCGTCATTGAAAACAAACAGAGTTATTAAAGCTCCAAGGTCACTGCCTCTGCATTCTACTTCTATACCAGCACAAACAGTACATGAGCAAGTGCAACAAATGCCACTGAACTCTACACCTTCTGCATCACAAGCAGTGCGTGAACAACTGCAGCATTCTACTTCTGCAGGTGGATCGCTGCCTCTGCATTCTACTGCTGCACCAGCACAAATAGTACATGAGCAAGTGCAACAAATTCCACTGAACTCTACCTCTCTTGCATCACAAGCAGTACATAAACAATTGCAACAACTACCACTGGATTACACCCCTCGTACTTCACAAACGGTACAAGAACAAGTTGAGGATTCTTCCAATCATGAAACAAACGAGCAATCCGAGGAACAAGGCAAGAACATATAGATTTCAATCGTCAAATTCAATAACGTAATGACTTTTGGTGATTATTCTTACTTCATATTTATGTAGGTCCTTCTGTCGAAAAACGAAAAAGAGGAAAAACTCAAATGCAAAGTGTTCATGATAGGAAAGAGCGCAAGTAAATTATGCTAAATGAGAACAATCAACCCATAGGTCCTACCGATGATGATGTAAATGAGTTGGGTAGCTTCCTTGGTACATTGGCAAGGAATGCGACCTTTTGTCCTCTTAATGTGTTTGATTGGACGAAACTTGAGACAAAAGAAGATATGTGGAATTCGCAATATTCAATAGGTGTGTGTGGATATTTCATATTGTGTATTACACCAACCTAACTGCTCTAAATTTGTAGGGAAAATATGACATTCATGAAGGTGCAAAAACGTGGGTTTTTCACTCAATTTCAAATGCTTGGAGAAAGTACAAAAACCAGTTATATAAAGACCATTTTGAACCCTATGAGAATGACGAGCTTCGAATGGAGAATAGGCCGGTTGATGTTCCGGATTCTCAATTTAGGGAACTTCTTAGATATTGGAACTCTGATACCTACAAGGTAAAACTGAATATTGTTCCATGATTTGCTTAAAATGTCTGATTTTTGTTTATTTAGAAACATTTCTGCTAAGTAAGAGGATTCTCTAAACTTCAAATATTTCTCATGTTCTTCCTGTTAAAGGTCGGTAAAAATTTGGATGACCAATTAACCAAGTTAAAGCTGTCACAAACAGAACCTTCAAGATGCAAATTTAGGCAACACTTTATTGAGTGTCAAGCTTGTTGCATCATATTACAGACTGAAGTTCTTGCACTACTGACTTCTAAGAAACTCGAACTACAAATATACAGTATGAGATATACCAGAATTGATCTAACTTGGGAAATTACTCCCTAGGCAACACTTTTATGAGTGTCAAGCTTGTTGCATCAGATTAAAGACTGAAGTTCTTGCGCTACTGACTTCTAAGAAACTCGAACTACAAATCTACTGGGATCAGTCTGCAACCTCTAATGCACATGCTTCAAATCTTGTATATAAACTTAAGATATTTGCTTAATATTGCTGAAATGTTGTCTGTTAAGCTCCTTAAGATTCCTATTTAGTAGTTTCAGTTTTTTAACAACCTGAAACATTTTGCATCCTTCAATATGTGTTCCCCATGAATTTGATACTATCTAATTGAACTGAGAATGTTGTGCCCAAGTATTGCAATATTTGAATGACCTGCTAGCATCATTA